TTGGAGCTTGCAAGACTCACGAGCTTGTCGTGTCCCTCTCGTGTGCTTCTGCGAAGAGCCCTCCTGCAGGACATCAGCATCTGGCAGTCGTTCGCGTGTTCTCAACTGACGAGGAGGTCCAGTTGCTAGAGGAAAGTGGCCCAGCTTGGGGACGGACGAGTCCATGCGCTGTCAAGTCGAACATGAGCGACATCGATCTCATTTTGGTTTACAGCAAGGACTTGGACTCGAACCCCGCGGCCCTCCAGGTCGTTACGGAGCTAGAGAACGGCTTTCAGAAGTACATGGACATGCAGAACTACAACTCCTCGAACGTGACCACTGGTACATCATACGACTGGATGAAGTGCTTCTCACGCATCCACCACATGTCTGCCATGTTGAACCCGGAGCAAGACGTCTATGACAACCGAGGTTACACCACCAACAAGCATTGGGTCTCCGGTCCCAACGCCGTCTTTTCCAAGATCATGACCGAGATGTTCAGTGCCGAGCCTGCCGACATGTACGACACCTTCTTCCTGATGGAGATGGATGCCGTTCCCATCAAGAGCCATTGGCTCGACCAGTTCGAGACCGAGGCCCATGAGATGGCGGACAACAACATGGCCGTCCGCGGGAGCCAGTACCTGGGTGACAAGTGGGATCTCTTCAAATCGATGATGCCGAAGTACTTGGTGGAGCACATCAATGGCAATGCCATGTACAACCTGAAGCATCCTTGGACCAAGGCTGTGTACGATGCATTCCGCAGCATGGACGACGGCAACATGATGGAAGAGATGGCTTTCGACGTGGCCTTTGCGATGATCACCATGGACGCCATGTCTGGGAACAGCAGTGAGTTTGCGGCCGCCTGGGCCGCGGCAGGGGGCAACAGCCAAACCTACAACTGGGATTCGATGCTGGTGGGCAACTATGCCAACACACTTCTGAACAGCAGCTTTGAGTTCCCGACGTACATCCGCCATGGCTCCAGCAAGAACCTCTTCGAGAATCTGGAGGATGAGCACGTGACCCTTGGCGTGGCCATGTTCGATCATCAGGGGCACTTCACGGAGACCGTGCCCACGCACCACCCCTTCAAGAAGATCCTGACCCTCACCTACTTCCCGCAGCCGAACATGACGGAGACGGTTCAGGCACCGGTGGGCAATGTGACCATGACGACGCAGGCGGCCACAGCCGAGCCTTTCTATCACCTCTGCGAGACCGCCAAGCTAGTGGACACAAAATGGTTCGCCCTTACGGACAACTACCACATCATCAAGGCTCCGGTGAGCGTCCTGATGGATGCTGACGAGAAGCCAGTGCTGCCCTACGTGCTCAGGAACTCCAAGTACTGTGGTGAACGCCCGAACTGCGAGGCTTCTATGCTGCAGGCAGAGGGCCTCTTCAGCATCACGCTGAACTACCATCATGACAAGTACGAGGTTCTGTACAAGACCGAGGATGCTAAGAAGTTCTGTGATGCATGGGACCTCGCAACATCAGGCACGGCCGCCGCGTCGTGGAGCAATTGTAGCCTGTCCTTTGGCCCAACTGGCGATGACTACATCGCCTGGAAGATCAGCGTGGACCAGAACATCACCGAAGAGTTCACCCCAAAGGACAAGACGCGCTATGGCTGGAGAGCCTGGACTAGCCTCTGGAATCCGGCCCCAGTGGATGCCCGCGAGTGCACGCCGATGCTGTACGGCCCCAAGGAGTACCTGGAGACGCTTGGCAACATCTCCAAGTGCGCGGTTGACTATGTGGAGAATGCTGGCGCATGTGAAGCAGATGCCGCGTGTGAGTGGAAGGCCATGTTCGAGTCTGGTGTGTGCCTTCAGGATCCAAAGAGCGTCACCACGACGACGACGCTGGCGGGAACAGTCTACAGCACCATCGAAGTCACCTTGCCACTCACCGTGGACGATGCAGCGGCCATCCTCAACAACGACACCGTGCAGCATGCCATGAAGCAAGGCTTTGCGGATGCGATGGATGTGGATGTGGAGGACGTGATGCTGGAGATCCAAGCAGCACGACGTCTGAGCTCTCAGACGCGGAAGCTACAGACGGAGCTGCTGGCTGTGTTTTCTGTGATCATGGAAAGCCTCGACGAGGCCATCGTGAAACAGGTCGAAATCGAGACCGTGTCCCTGGATGCAACCAACCGCGCCATCGCCAGTGCCGTCGCAGCCGCGGGCTTCTCGGGCTCTGTGGAGGTGACTGGCAAGACCACCATGCGAGTGCCTGCGCCGACCACGACGACCACCACCAGCACCGAAGCCAGCAACACCACCGCCACCACCACTGACGGCGGCGACGACGGCGACGATGGCGACGATGGCGACGACGGCGACGAGGAGCCACCCAGCTCGGCAATTGCCAAGACTGCTTCTTCTGTGCTGGGACTCCTCGTGCTTCTGGGCTGGGCCTAAGGCCATAAGGCCACAGCATCCGGTAGGAGGGGAGCAGGGGCGCCCGATTTTTTTCCGACGGGCTCGAAGTCCCAAAAGCGCGAGCAGCCCGCCGCTTAACTGTAGTGTCTTCTGATGGGGTGAATGGCCCCGCAACAATTTTGTCACAGAGCTTGATCCGGGTCCTGACCATCAAGGCCAGTAGCGAGCTCTAACTCTAACTCGAGCCGATGCAGCAATACCCATGCTGGCAGGCGCACCTGGCACGACGGAGGGCGCACTAGAAGCGCACTCGCACGACGAAGCATGCCATTTTGCAGGAGGCCCGTCAAGGCAAAGCCTACGGCCTACAGCGACTGAAAGGTGGGGGCAGGTGAAGGAAACAGTGCCGAGCAGTCCGCTGAAGCGCTGAGGCTGTTTATCAGTGTTGGTCGCTGTTCGCAGGCCTCATCTACGGTCGTTTCTACAGAAGCTCACGGTTGGTCGGTCGCACGTGTCGGAGAAGTGCCCAGGCTGAGCCATTGGAGCTGCTGGATCAGCCGTGAAGCGCCCAGGGACACCTGCAGAGGAGTTGCCCGAAGCGTGCATTTCTGTCCCCAAACACAATGTGGGGCTCTTACATTTAAGCGGCAAGGAGAGCTGGTTGGCACGCACGGCGCACGCAGACAAGCGTTCCCAGGCAAAGCATTCGCGCAGTGCTCCCGAATCCGGCTGTAAAAGATTTTGTTCTACTGGTCTCCTGGGGTCTCCTGGT